GGTGAATTGCCTGGTTGAACTTTTAATCCCATTCAGCAGTTTTGATTATGAGGATTTATAAGACTAGTGTTTTGCTTACATATTGCTAACTGTACGTGTAAGGGAGACAGCATCAAAGATGACAGCATTAAAGTCAGAAGCTGGCCAGGGATGTGCGTGTTCAGTGTTCAGCAGAGAAGATAAGCAAGCATAAAACAAACCCAGGTCCCCTGTACTGTATGTCTCCCTATTCTACAAAGGTAAGTACTGTCTGGATATGCAACTCTTTTTTTTTTTTTTGAGGAACTCAAGATAAAGCCTTTGATGTCAATACCCCTGAAGTCAATCTTTTTTTTCCTTATCTGTAAGTATAGTGTAAAGAAGTTGTTCTATTGATCCAGAAGTGTGAATAACTATGTAAGGTGAACTGGTAGGCACTTAAAGAAATTAGAGCAATGAGAGTTAATTCCTGAATCAATGCAAGACTTCACACACACACACACACACACACACACACACACACACACACACAAGATTTTGTGAGCTCTAGGACAGAGAAAACAAAAGATCAATTTAAGACACTTTTCTAAAAGTCTGGGATACTGAGTATGAGTATTGCTTTTTCAGATTCTGGGTTGGATTACAGACCCACAGGCCTTGTCCAGCCAAGGAAAGACAGGACACCTAGCCTAGAATCACTTCGGCCAAGCCTAGCTTGGGCTGCAGCCTTTGTGTGGGGCAGCAGCATCACCTAGTGATGCAGTGCTCTAAGTACAAGCTCTTTTTTCCTGGCAACTGCTTGATCAAACTGCAATAAGATCAATTATCCACGCCAATAAGAAGAATAGGATAGATAATCCCAAACTGAAGATGACTTCAATTCCATTTGTATTTACTCTGTAATGTATTGGGTAACTATAGAGCTTTCAAGTTTTCCATAAAGTAACATGAAAGAGAATGAGTTCATGCCAGGCAGGACCAATGTGGGAGGCAGGAGGAGTTAGCAAGATTAAAAGGAGCCCGGGTTATTGTGTCAGTTCAGGTTCCCCCAGAAGCAGGTATTGAGATAGCATTAGAAGCACAAGAGATTTAGTGAGAGATAAAGTGGAGTCAAATCAGGGGTAGTCCGGTAGAGTCTTTCATTCTGCCATGCAAGTCTGACATCTGTCAGAAAGAGGGGGAAGAAAGGAAGGTTGAGGTGGGAAGGACCTCAGGTTACAGTCCAGCTCAGAGAGCAGCTTGGCCAATCCAACGAAGCAACCTGGTGCAAAGATGACTGGTGGGGAGGAGTCCTATAGTGACAGAAGAGAGGGGCCGTCTTCTGGCAGAGATAGGCCCACTGTGCATGGTCATCGGCCAGTAGCTGCTCCATTCACAAGTGGATGCCATCAACTAAGTGCACTCTGTGACAGGTTCCCCCTTGAGGGAGACCTGAACAGCATGCCTCTACAGCTGCTGGGGACTTGAAGGGCAGCTGCCCTATGATCCTGTATTTACCTGCAGCTCCTCATGTCCACACACTGTCAAAAGGAACACTGTGGATTAATGCATCTAAATCGAGGAGTTGAAAATCTAGCACTTATTCTGCCATCCCATTAACTAATATCAACTAGAAATAGGAACTCCTGGGCAGCATTTACTAATCTCCCCTTTCTAAACAGCAAGCTGCCTGCCTTTCCCAGTGTGTTCTCTGCCCAGGAAACCAAGTTCAATGTCAACAACCTGGAACACCAACTGCACTTAAGCTTCTTTATACAGCATACGTTGGGTCTGAAAATGTCTATATCCTGCCCAAGGCATGAACAGTGAGTGACCTCACATTTCTACCAATTCTCTCCCGCCCACAAATGGTCTTTGATACTACTGACCACAAGATGCTGCTACCCAGGTGATATGACCTGATCTCTGTATTTGAAAACATGAAGAAACGTAAGTTCAAGGATTTTTAAAAATCCAATTTGGGTGAATTAAGAAGCAGCACTACAGGCAAGGGCACTAAGTTTTCAAATCACAGCGAAGCCACAAAGACCCAGGATGCCTAAAATGAAAAAAGAAATGCAAGGAGCCTCTTGGAAAGATCTAAGAGTGGAAGAAAGGCCACTACAGAAGTAGAAAGAATAAATGAGAGAGAGAGAGAGAGGGAAGAGCTAAAAAAATGAAAAGAAAGAAGAATGAATGTATAGCTCTTTCTAAGGCTCATCAAGAAAAGAAGATAAGGGCAAAAGAGAAAGAATGAGTTGACATAACCAAGGAAATTAGAGGCAAGGCAAAGGCAGACAGTCTGGGGAGGGTTAGCACCAGCAATAAAGTAGCTGGACTAATAAATGAGAAGGGGAGTGAAATTAATGATGACTCTGAGTGGCACTGATACCGAGCTGCTCTTTTAAATTGGTCTTTAACAAGAAAAATAAAGGAAGGGAGCATAGATAATTAGGAAGTAATGAAGACCTTTAAATATAGATGTTGAAATAAACCAGGTAAGGGAATACTTGAAAACATGGTACAATATGTAAAGCAGCAGGTCCAGATAATGCACGTTCCCTAACCTTTAGGGAATTGGTTAATGAACCTGCAGAACCACTGGCCATTATTTTCAAAGGCTCCAAGAGACCAAGGACTATAAAATGAAAATATTTGGCCAATTTTTTTACCAAATAAAAAAGGAGGCTTTGGTAATTAGTTTACCTGCCACTATATATTTTCTCCCTTGCCTTGAGGAAGTTACAATGACAAATGGAAATTGAAAGAGTAAAACACCTGAAAGAAACCATGGGAAGGGAGCAGTTAGCTGGTAATAGTACATGGTATAAGATCAGGGATAATACAGGTGTTTGACTTTCTGCTCAACTGAATGCATTTGGGGATTGTATAATTCTATTTCCATGATCTGGGCTGATATAAAAATCAGTTCACATCCCAGGAAGTATTGCAAAGGAGAGAAAAGTTCCATAGTAGGTGTCAATCTAGGATGTTCAGTTTTCCAAGGATAATCTACAGATGTATAATGGCATGTACATGCAGTATTAAGGACCTCCCAGCTTGCCCTTTAATAAATAGATTGCAGTGAGTTATTCTTTATTTTATCGAACCAAGTAACACATTCTTATAGAAAAACAAAAATACAAATAATCAACACTAATCATCTAAAATCTTGCTACTGCTTATAAAACTTGGTACATTTGTATCCATAAGTTTTCCAATGAATATAAAGATAGAAGTTATGTTTATAAAGATGAGATGGTCCTAAAATAAGATGGTCTGTGTGTGTGTTGTGTGTGTGTGTGTGTGTGTGTGTGTATGTATATGTAATATAACTGTTTTTTCCTACACATTATAAATGCACATCTGTTCATTTCATTTTTTTGCACTTTTTCATTGTCAAGGTATGTATAGAGGGATTACAGTTACATAGCAAAGGTAATAAGTACTTTTCTTTTCAAACTTGTTCTGTGTATGTGTATGTCGCTGTTGCATTGGTCCCTCCCTTGTCCTTTGTCTCACCATCCTGTAGTTCCCCTTCTCTTCCCTAATTCAAATAAAACGTATATACAATACCAGGGTACCAAAATCAAATACAGTGACAACAGGGGCTATATTACAGGGAGAAGAACAAACAAAAGAAACAAAAAGAATCACATAATATGTTAAAAAACACTTCTCTGGCTATAAAAGAAATGCAAATCAAAACAACATTGAGATTCCACCTCACCCCAGTTAGAATGGTTATAATCAAGAAAGCTAATAACAACAGATGCCGGAGGGGATGTGGCCAAAAGGGAACGCTACTGCACTGTTGGTTAGCGTGTAAACTTGTTCAACCACTCTGGAAAGCAGTATGGAGATTCCTCAAAAGACTCCACATAGAGCTCCCCTATGACCCAGCAATCCCACTTCTGGGCATTTACCCAAATGATCACAAACAAGGCCATACTAAAGCTACCAGCACAACTATGTTTATTGCAGCATTATTCACCATAGCTAAGATATGGAATCAACCCAGATGCCCCTCAGTAGATGAATAGATCAAGAAAATGTGATACACACACATACACACACACACACACACACACACACACACACACACACACACACACACACACACACACACACACACACACACACACACACACACACACTGGAATTCTATGCTTCCATCAGAAAGAATGACACCGCCCATTTGTTAGAAAATGGAAAGACTTGGAAAAGATCATATTAAGTGAAGTAAGCCAGACCCAAAGAAACATAGGTCCCATGGTTTCCCTTATTTGCAATCATTAGTATACGTCTAGGATAATCTTAGCAGATCAATAAAGTAGCTCAATAGCAATGTACATATGACCATATAGGACGATGCTAAGCTAAATGAACTCCAAGGCATAAACACAAGAGGTTTTTCTTTGTTGTCATTGTTTTTAACATCTTTTCATTTTAAATTGCTACTGTTATTTAACCAATAACTTGAAATATTTAGATTATTTCTCCAGTTTTCTTCTTTGTCATTTTAAATATTTCTTTAAAAAATACCTCTGAATACTCATGCTTTCCTTCCCTTAGAATAATTTTTTTTAATTTTATTTTCTTATAAAGATGCTATACAGAGGGGTTACAGTTACATCAGTAAGGTGATGAATACATTTCTTGTTGAGCATTGTTACCCCCTCCTTTGTTTTTCTCCTACCGTCCTTTCCCTCCCCCACCTCCCCCATTCCTCCCCTCAAAGTTGTAAAGTTCATTTCCAACATAGTATCTTGTGAATATCATTGTTACAATGGGTCATACTGTATCCTTGTTTCAACATTTTGTTATTCCCCTTCCCCTCCCCAAATTAGATAAATGTATATACAAGATGCAAGGTATTTAACCCAGATACAGTGACAACAGGGTATACCATTGGAGAAAGAACATACAAAAGAAACAAAAAAAAAATCACATAGTGCATTAAAAACAACAACAACAAAGAAAAACCTCTTGTGTCCATATCTTGGGGTTCATTTAGCTTCGTCTCATATGGTCATACATACAAAAATATGGAATGCTTCACGAATTTGCATGTCATACTTGTGCAGGGGCCATACTAATCTTCTCTGTATCATTCCAATTTTAGTATATACACTGCCAAAATGAGCACTAGAATAAAATTCTGTACAAAGAATTGCCCAGCCAATTGTCCTTCTTTTAGGAATTTTGTTCTATATTGCTAACTTACTTTCAAGAAAGAAAGCATTAATATTCCACAAACAATAAATGAACCATCAGCTTTCTCATATGCACACCAACTAGAGGTCATAAAAAATTACCTTTTCAGCACAGCAACATTTTTTAACATCAGATAGAACATGGCACCTAAATAAGGAAATTTGTACCTTTTCTATACTAATTCAAATGATTTGGGGGAGGAAGTGTGGTTTGTGTGTGCTTCTCACTCTCTTCTCTTAGAAGTATCCATATATGCAATAAAGGGATTTTTTTTATCAGATAAATAACAAACACAAAATTTAGAATGGTGGCTACCTCCACAGGGAAAGCCAAGTTTCAGAGGAATGAGCAAAGATGCTTAGGTGCTACAACACTGGCAGTGTTTCAGCTCCCATAGAGCATCACACACTCACTTTATCGTTCTGCTTCATAACTTATATATGTGTTAGAAGCATCTGAATGTATCAGCTGCAGAGAGGGGATTATGTTCACTCAGTAGTTTTAAATTTTCACTTTCTAATACTTCATATAGTGTTCTAATGTCCCCAAAAGCATAAGCAGTTTTTCACTGCTAAACCCAGGCTCAATACCTTGCTGGCTGGATGGCTGCAAGAATACATTACAGTACGTCTCTGGAGGATTCTGCAATCCCCTCAGAGAAGTGGCTGTGCCCTCACCCCTCAAGTAGAGAATTCCTCTCCTCTGGAGAATCAGGAAGGGAGAGAAATGAAGCAGAACCTACAACAGACATGGTTCTAGAGGAATTCCCTAAGGCTGACAGCTATGACCTTGCCCATTCTCCAGTCCTTTTCTAAAAATACATTCCAAGTTCTGGTAAACTATTAGAGGAAAATAGCCTATTTTTAAAGTAGAGGTCCCAAATAGCTAGATCATTTTGCTTAAGCAATGAGCCAAGTCACTTCTAATGAGGTTGTGGCATTACTGGAAATAAGTGATATATTTAAATAAATAGTCCATACATTACCCTAATAAATCATTTGAAAAATATTCTCAAATGCACTAAATGTATTTTTAGTGGCATATGCCTGACCTTTCTAAAAGAAGAAAGATAATGCTGGAACATTTTGAGAATAAACATTTATCCAAATTAGTAGTCGGGACACTGGTAAAATTGTTTTACATTTTCTGAACACCGTTAACTAGACCTTATGCCTCAAAAACAATTTATTTTTCCTACCTTTAATAAAATACAGAATCTGTCGTTAAAACAGCAGGAATATGAGGGCAGAAAGTTTTCTGATGACCCAATGAGAAATCCCATAATGGCGCTATTACCTCACAGCCTCGGGCAGGATGGATATGTGTATTTGCAACATTTCCTAAAATGACTTGCAGACCATAAAATTTTAGTTTTTTTTATGACTACATTTCCAATGTGTTTCAAAATCGCGGCTGTATCCTTTTTTTTATAATATTCACAATAAAAATGTAAATAAGACCCATTTATTCAACAAACCCATGAAGCACCTGCTCTTTCTTGCCCGGTACTCCATTGGGGATGCTGAGGACTGCCCTCCTAATCTTTACAGTCCAGGATATCTTATGAAGGCCCTGCACTAAAGCTGTTTTACAGCCTTTGTGTAGTCCCTTCATTCCCTGAGGAAGAAGACAAAGAAAAATTGCTCTTCTTCCAGGGTTGCTCAGATCAGGAGTCTACGAGGGAGAAGTTCCATGCCTCTACTGTGCTCACCGAACCTGCCTCTTCCACTCACCTCTGTGTTAGCCGCTCACTTCACATCTCCATCTGCCTCTGACCCTGCGCTGTATTCACTTCCCTTCTGTTTCACGACATCTCTTTTCCTCCCTGTTCATTGCCTTTCCCTCTCCCTCTCTCTCTTCTCTCTTCCCTTTACTAAACACATTCACGCTGCTCTCTCTTCCAGAAACTCTTCAACCACTATGCTCTCACTTCAGTCCTCTGCTCTACCCATGCTACGGTTGGCACTACTCACTAAGGTTTGCTTTGGCATCCTAAGCTCTCAAATGACAGCTTTGCTTTCCTCTTCTCATTTACTTTCTACAGCAGCTGATGCTGGGAACCTGACATCATCCCTCTGCTTTTGCACTTTGCAGAGACCCTTCTGCTTTTCCTTCTGTGGGCTCCTTCCCAGCCCCTTCACCAGCTCCCCCTTATTAACCCATCCCTCCAGGATTAACACTCACATGCCAAATGTACTCCCATCTTATCTCGCTGCTCTGACCACTGGGAAAGCACATGCTCTCCTCATGGGCTAACTCATAGTTGCTCATGGGGCGGGGGGGGGGGTCTTTGGGTCAGCTTGTCTCTGTGCCTGAAATGCTGTCCCTCGCATTTTAAAATCAGTTATTCTTTTCCCCATCTTCTTTTTCTTTCTTTCTTTATTTTTTGGATCCGGTTGTGGAGCCTGAACTCTGGGCCTGGGCGCTGTCCCTCAGCTCTTCAGCTCAAGGCTAACGCTCTACCACTTGAGCCACAGCGCTACTTCCAGCTTTTTTCTTTTTGCTTATGTGGTGCTGAGGAATTGAACCCAGGGCCTCATGCATGCAAGGCAAGCGCTCTACCACTGAGCCACCTTCCCAGCCCCTTTCCCCATCTTCTTAAATCCCACTCACCATCTAGGGACTAGCTTAAATGGACGGCAGCATGTCGTAGCTGGGCGTGGGACTCTAGAGGCAGAGGTGCAGCTTTAAATCCTAGCTCACGTTGATCTGCCTGACCTAGGGCAAGTTGCCTGTGCCTTGGTTTACTCAATGATAGAATGCAGCATATGCTATCCTATACTACACCATATCTGCCTCTGGATATTATTGGGAAAATTGATGAGTTAATGAGCGTAACATCCCTAGAGTGATGCCTAGCCTATATCGCAAGTACTTTGTGTGTTTGTTTAAGGGGGAAAAAAGTCAACACAAAGTATTTCTTGAGCGCCTAAGCTTTTAATCACCTCTTCGTAGCCCATTTGTCGCCATGCATTCTACCCTTTCTATAAAAGCTGAGCAAATGTTTGTTGAAGGAGTGGGAGACTCTCCAGCAGCGGTGAGTTTTCCATGACAAGTTAGAGGACATGGGCCTAAGATTTCCTTCAGCTACTTTGGTAGAGGGTGGGGTTGGGATGTTATTAAGCACCAGCACTTTCCATTGCCACAATTTCTTCAACCCTGTAAGCTGATCTTGTGGCAGGTTCCCTAACATTGCCAAGCCTAATTATTGCAAACCAGATCGACACACACTGTACCTTTCTATATCACATCAGTGGAACTTTATTTTCCATCCTCCATACCTGTTTCCTTCTCTGTGTGTCATTAATGGGCTTTATATTTAAAACATGAAAAGCCAATAAAAAACCAAAACCACAAATCAACAGTGCTTTGTTCAAGAATGTCTTATTTAATCAAGAAACTTTCCCAAGTAATGCACTCAGTTCACCCTCCAGCTACCAGATGGCTTTGGGGAAATGGGAGCACTGAGCATGTAAGAGAAAAAAAAAAGCTGTGTTCTCTGCCCTTGAGGATTCTCAATGCCATATATGATTAGAATATATCACTCCCTCCTAGGCAAGCATCTTTAGAAATCAAAGATGTTCCCATAACCCATTAATGCATCTGTACCTTTAATTAGCCCAATTGAGCATATAACTCAGTAAAATCTCTCACCTCTTTTGCTCCTTTCAACTAATCTCTGAACACTTCATTTTCTAGTAAGCTTTCACTGCATAACAAGCCAGTAATGAAATGACCGATATTAACCCATTGTTAGATTAAACAAAGTACATCATTGGCTGATGGCGTTCTATATTATTGGGGTTTGAAATGAGTCCTATCCTATGATGAAAACATTTGGTATTTTCCTAATGAGACCATTCTTGTACCTACAAAGGAAAAAAGACATTGTATTATAACATTTCATGTTAATGACAGCATGTTCAGTGCTTTTGGGTCACAGCCACATCTGTGGGTTAGACAGGTTTCTCGATATTAAATGCTGCAGTTGGGCCCCTATTCCTAGCAAGATGTCTGATTGGCTACTCCCCAAATATAACTTAAATTGGCTTAAAATAGAACAATCACATGCTAACCCAGTAGCATTAGCAACTCTATTAACAGCCAATTTCACATCCACACCAGAGGGAGTAAAAGGTAATTTGCTCATTATCAACACCCTCCGGCAGTGGAAGGAAATGACTGTTCATCAAAAAGTATTTTCCGACATAACAATAGCAGCACCCATATGTACCCACCTCACTCCCTTCCCTTCTACGACGCGATCACTGGGAACAGGTACAAGGAAAAAAGATCACAAAATACAAACCAATTGATATGAGTAGCCTACTTGTCTACCACCACTCTTCCCCTGCCAGCTTCCTTTCATCTTGACTCTTGGGTGACAAAGGAAGATTGTAATGATACTGATGATAATATATAATACTGGAGAGTACAAGACCGATCCAAGTCAAACAGAAATTGCTTAGACCAAAAAGTTGCAAGCAGTTCTTGATGAATATTTCAAATTTAACCCAACCTTGACTGCAAACACTTTTTGGTGCCCACTAGAGTAGGCCTAATCTGTAGATTAGATTAGCCTACCTACTGGTTGAAAAACAATGAGCCATTCAGAAATACAATGTCCCAATGGTGGTTTTAAATCACACCCACCACAAGTCTTCATTTAATGAATACCTCTTCGGATATTAAATTCCTTTGTTTGCCTTTAATCCATGCTTAATGAACTTCTATAGGATGCATTTCTATATTTTGATATAATAGCATGCTATAATAGGGGCAAAGAAATTGATTTCTTAACCATTGCTCTGCTCAGTTGGCTATTCTTTTAGAATAGTCATCTTCGAACTCCTGTCTAGCTCTTTAGAGCTGTTCCTCTTCTTCCTTCTTCTGATTCCCCTATCTCCCGCACACAGATGTCAGGCTAA